GAAAAAAAAAACAATGGCACGAAACTCATAAAGCCACACCAAAATCCTCTTTCTTCTCAACCCATCTTCTTGAAAAATGAAAGCACTATTCTTCATTTTCACTATTATTATTATCACCATAGAAGCTGCAGATGTTCTTCCTGGTTCAACCCTTGTAGCTTCAGATCCAAACTCAAAATGGTCCTCTCCAAACAACACCTTCACTCTCTCCTTCTTACAACTGGACCCCACAAACCAAAACACCTATTTTGCTTCCATTTCTTACAACAACATACCCATTTGGACAGCCGGCGGCACCACCGTCAACGGTGGCGCAGTTGATTCCTCCGCCGCACTCCGGTTCTTGTCCAACGGTGACCTTGTGCTCACAAATGGACCTTCAGGTATTGTTGTGTGGAGCTCAAGAACTGCAAATCTTGGTGTTTCCTCAGCTTCTCTTGATGAAAATGGTAATCTTGTACTTAAAAATGGTACCTTTTTAAACATTTGGTCTACTTTTGATAACCCAACTGATACTATTGTACCTGCTCAGAATTTCAGTAAAGATCATGTTTTGTCATCTGGGTTGTATTCTTTTAAGCTTAGGAATAATGGGAACTTGTCACTTTTGTGGAATGACTCTATAGTATATTATAATTCTGGGTTGAATTCTTCCGCTAATGTGAACTTGACTTCTCCTAGTTTGAGTATGCAGCCTATTGGGATTCTTTCACTTTTTGATCGTAGCCTTTCAAGTCCTTTAAATGTTGTTTATAGTAGTGATTATGCTGATGAAGGGAATATTTTGAGGTTCTTGAAGTTGGATTCTGATGGGAATCTTAGGATTTATAGTTCAACTCAAGGTAGTGGGACTCAAAATGTGAGATGGGCTGCTTTGACTGATCAGTGTCAGGTCTTTGGATATTGTGGGAATTTTGGGGTTTGTAGTTATAATGAGACTGGTCCTGCTTGTGGATGTCCTTCAATGAATTTCGAATTTAATGATCCGAATGATAGTCGAAAAGGGTGTAAGAGGAAAGTTGATCTTAGTAATTGTCCTTCCAATTCGACGATGTTGCAGTTGGATAATGCTAAGTTCTTGACTTATCCTCCGGAATTGTCTGAGCAGATTTTTTCTGCTGGTATTTCTGCATGTAGGTTTAACTGTCTTGTTAATGGTGCTTGTGTAGCTTCTACTTCTTTAGCAGATGGTACAGGGATGTGTTATTTTAAACAGCCCAACTTCGTTAGTGGTTATCAGGCGCCAACCCTCCCGAGCACTTCATTTGTTAAGATATGTGGTCCCGCATTGCCTAATCCTTCTGCGGTTTCAGAGACTGTTCAGAAGAAAAATGGAGGAAGGGTTCCTGGCTGGGTTGTTGCGCTTGTGGTTGTGGCTAGTCTCTTGGGTTTGATCTTGTTGGAGGGTGGTTTGTGGTGGTGGTGCTTTAGGAACAGTTCGAAATTTGCATCACTGTCGTCTCAATATGCGCTTCTTGAATATGCCTCTGGTGCCCCTGTGCAGTTCACGTACAAGGAGCTTCAGCGGACAACAAAGGGTTTTAAGGAGAAGCTTGGTGCAGGAGGATTTGGGGCTGTTTATTGGGCAGTTCTGGCTAATAAGATTGTTGCTGCAGTGAAGCAGCTGGAAGGAATTGAGCAAGGCGAGAAGCAATTCAGAATGGAGGTTGCAACTATAAGTAGCACACACCATTTGAAT